TGCAACAATGAATGAATGGAAATCCAAAATCTCTGTAAATGTTCACTGAAATTAATAAAATAAAGAAAAAGAAAATAAAAGAACAACAACAGTGGCCCAATGGGGGGTGGAGGGGGGAGAGTGCAAGTTGGTAATAAGCAGGGAAATAATGATCATTCTGATGCAACAAAGGAAGTGTGAACATAAATTGCTAAGAACTTGAAGGAAGGCAATTCCTATTTAAAAAACTTAGTAAGGTAAGATTTGTATTAAAAGATCTTTCTCTGGGGTAAATTATTACATTTAATATTGAACAAAAGAAGTTACAGTTTACTTATTAAACATATTTTATAGAGTAGTGAATGTGCATAGGGAGTGTATGAGAGTGAGAGTATGCAAACACAAGTGTTCCTTATCAACAGAGGGTCAATAAAACAAGATGGAAAAAAAAAGTTAAATCCATTTATTTAATACACTAATGTGAACTATGAGCTTTCCAAATCTATTTAAGAACTTTTCTCTCAAAATTTTGTGGAAAAGTATTTAATGACAAAAAAAAATCTTAACCACGTATTATTTTTTTTAATAAAAAGTATGTATACAGAATCAGATCTTATACAAATTTCTATTCTTCTTGTGGCTTGAATCAACTGAATGAAAATTATACACTGCCTATATGAATTATTGCTCACTGATGTTAGAAGTGCTTCTTTAGGCAAAGAAGGTTGAAAGAAAGTTTTAATGGCAGTTAACGAATATTTTCTATAAATTATCTTCCATTATGCTTAAAATGCTTGTAAATTTAAAAAATTCAAAGGTCTGACTATGGCTGCTTTTAACAAAGGGCCATTAATAATACTAAGAATGTCATGCTAACTGTTAAAAATTACTGCAATGAGACTTATCAATGACAAAAGATAAATGTTATGGAACTCATGCTTTAACTTAAGAACTCAAAAAGCTTTTAATTAGATTTATCTTCTAATCGTTATGATCTCAAAATGTTCTATCATTTCAGTAAGAATTTTTGAGTTCTGTAACTTGGTAAGGTTTTACTGAAAAAGAGACTAGTGTATTAAATACTTATTATTTCAAATACTTACATGTCTTCAGGCATCCAATGAAGTAAAAGCTTTATCTTTCCAGAATCTTCTTTTCTCTTTGCAATTACCTAGTAATGTGATGAAAAGGGGAGAAAAATCATAAAAATTATTTCCAAATCATTTGAAAAAGCCCTTTTGACAATAATTTATAATTATTCATCTGCTAACCAGATATTCAACACCACAGGATCTCCCCTGTTTTGGAGCACTCCAACTTCTGTCTCCCATACAAGACTAAAGTTCCCTGAAGGCATGAGGACTATATATATTGCACTTCTGCACCATACTTGAGCATACGATTTATTGATCAATTCAAATTTTAAGAAATCTACCATAAGAAAATAAACCTGCATTCTAGAAAACCTTTAAAGTTAAAAAAACTCTCAAGAACAAAAACTTTAGAGCACTTCTAGTGCTCACAAAAGCAAGCCAACATCCAATCTAGTAACTTATTCTCTGTAATGCAGATTGTTTATCCAAACAATTTTCTGCAATTTTCTGAACCCCTCTTAAGTCTCAAAAGTTCTTTTCCACTAAGTAATAAAACTAAGGCAAAAATTCATTATCACTTCCCAGAATAAAATACTTCGAAGGTTCAACTGAGCACATAGTTTTGTTCATAGTATACTAAGAACTAACATTCTTAGTATAATACAAAAGGCCATCTCACAGAGATGGGGGGGAAAAGAAAAAAACTTAAATGGTATCAGAAGGGATTCTGAAATAAGCACCAAACATCAAGAAGCCAAAACAAAAGGAAGAAATGGAAAGGTAAAAAATGTTGAAGATTTCAAAGGGCAGCTTGAGAAAACAAAAGTATTACATGAAAAAAAAAAAAAAAACCCGTAAAGATAGAGAAATGATAAAGGGAAGGTAAGAACGGAAGAAAAAATTCAAACCTCAAGCTGTGTGCTACAGGAAATACTGTGAATCATCCTTATGTATCAAAAATAGATTAAATGAGTAATACACATAAAGGCACTATTGTGGGACCCCCCCCCAAAATAGATGACACAGAACTACTTCACGAAGTAGTATATGAACAAGAGCCAATGGCAATCAAGGAAGTAATCTTTTTTTGTTGTACTGAAGGCACTAGGAAAAAAAGAATGACCTAGGAATTGATGGAATACTAATTGACATGTTTCACAAAAACATGGCTGTGCCAAGATATCTGGCCAACTGGAAGAGACCCTTCTCAGTCCAAAAAACGGATCCAACAAAATGCGGAAATTACTAAACAAGATCATTAAAATCACATGCGAGTAAAATCTTGCAGAAGATTATTTAAAAATGTCTAGAACAGTTTATCAACAAAGAAGTGCCAAAAACTCAAACTGGGTTTAGAAGAGGCTGTGACACCAGGGTATCAATGCTGATGTCAGATAGATCTTGGCTGAAAGCAGAGAATACCAGAAGGATATCTATGTGTTTTACTGATCCTGCAAAGCATCTGACTGTGTGGATCATAACAATTATGGCTAACACTGAGAAGAATGGGAATTCCAGAATACTTAACTGAGCTCATGCAAAACCTATGCCTAAACCAAGAGGCTGCTGTTTTAACAGAAAAAGGGACTACAGCATGGTTCAAAATCAAGAGAAGTATATGCCAGGGCTTTATTTATCAATTCAAACTGTATGCTGAAATCATCCAACTGGATTTTATGAAGAATGTGGCATCAGGATCAGAGAAGACTCAACAACCACCGGTGTTCTGCAAATGACACACACAACCTTGTTTGCTTAAAGTGAAGAAGAAGCAGCTCTTCCATCAGAAGATCAAACTACAGTTTTCAACATGGATTACTCTCAACATCAAGAAAACGAAAATATTTACCACTGAGTCAACAGTCAACATTAAGCTAGATGAAGCAAAGATTGAAATTGTCATGAGGTTTTGTGTTATCTGGATCCACAATCAAGGCCCTTATTACCAGTAGTGAACAAATCAATACCTGTGACAAAATGTGCTGTCAGAGACCGATCCAACATGCTGAAGAACAGGACGTCAGCTTAAAGACTAAAGCATGTGCCTAATTCAAGCCATGGTCTTTCTGATACTTGCTATACATCTGATCAGTCCTCGGAGAGGGATGTCATGCTTGGAAGGGAGGTGGGGTAGTGCCAGAGAGGAAGACCCTAGATTAGATGGACTGATTCCATCACTGGGATAAAGGGGATAGGTGTGTCAGAGACAATAAGGTTGGCAAGAGACAGAGAAATGTTTAGGGCTGTTGTACACAGGGTCGCTATGAGTCACAAGCGACTCAACGCCACATAACAACATACATCTAAACACTGGACAATGAAAAAGGATGACAGAAGAACCAATGCCTTTGAGTTGTGGTGCTGGAGAAAAATAGTGCAAACCCATGGATTGCCAAAAGAATAAGCAAATCTGTCTTGGATAAAGTACCACTACAGTGCTCCTTGAAAGCAAGGATAGTGAAACTTTATCTCACATACTTTGAGCATGTTATTAGGAGAAGCTAGTCATTGAAGGGAGACGGACATTTTGTTTAGAAAGCTGGAGGGTCAACATAAGATATAAAGACTTTCAACAAGATGGACTAACAGTAACAGAAGCAATGGGATCAAGTATATCAGAGATGGTATGACCCAAGATAGGGCAAAGTTCAGTTTTGCTATTCATAGGGGTCACTACCAACTCTGACATTTAACAGTGTGGATACATGTATCTTTATAATCTGGTCTCTCTAGCCTTATTATTTTATCTCTTCTAGTGACACATATATGATGAAAGTTTTCTACACTACAAAACATGTAAAAGACACGTTCTCATTTGACTACCAACTCAAGACATCAAACACCATCCTTCTTTCTATGTTCTGAAGAAAAAATGGATACAAAATATCCACAGCACACAGCAGTGAGGCAAAAGAAATACCATCCTATTACTAAAATATTGTCATCTGAAAGACTTAAAGGAAAACTGTGAAAAGGAAATACTGTAAATAGGGTCTTAAAAGTTTGTTCAGTGGTCATCTCAGATGTAACTATTTTTTTTTTTCTCCCTGTCTGGAACAAAGAAAAAAAAATTAAAGATGTAAGAAACTATTATTAACTCAAAAAACTGATGAACCACACAAATCTGATCCCCACTATCCTGAGATCAGAAACACCTGATGATACCACTCGTGATCACTCCAATAAAAGGGTAACAATATAGGGATACAGGGTCCCAAAGAGAATGGACGAAAAAGTGCAAATGAGCCCCCCACCTCGTTTTTTGCTTTGTTTTCCTTTTTTCTGAGTGGTGTTTTTGCAGGGATAAGATGACATCTAATTATAGTTTAGTCTGTATCTTCCTAGCACCCAGAGATCAAATGCACCTTTTCATGTGTATGCTGGTTACTTACCTGTCCTCTTTGGTGAAGTCTTTGCCCAGTTCAGTTGTCATTTTTTTTTTCATCAGAAGTCTAAGGTTCCTACTTTGTTGTTCTTCAATATTACTATGGCTACTGGGACTTCCTTCCTTTTCACATAAACTTGATTAGTATTTCATTTTAGTAAATATATATACACATACACGTATGTTGATATCTAGCTTAGGATTGTACTCATCTACAGATTGCTTTGGATTATTCTTCTTAGAATATTTATTGTTGTTAGGTGCCGTCAAGTTGAGTACGACTTATAGCAATCCTATGAACAAGAGAACGGAATGCTGTCCTATCCTGTGCTGTCTTCACACTTTCTGACACCCCAGAGCCCAGTAGGCAGTCACTGTATCAATCCACCCGATCAAGTGTCTTCCTCTCCTTCGCTAACCCTGTGCCCTTCCAAGCATCATGTCCTTTCTCCAAGAAACAGATCCTCCTAGCAACATGCCCAAAGTATGCAAGGCTAAGCCATATCATCATTGCCTCCAAAGAGCACTCTGACTGCACCCTCTCCAAGGCATACTTTTTGTTCTTTTGACAGTTCAGTGCTCTTCTCCAACACCCAAGCTCAAAGGTGTTAATTCTTTTTCTGTCATCCTTATTCATTATCCAGCTCTCAGTTGTATACCAAGTGATAAGAGACCATAGCCTGAATCAGACACACCTTAATCCTCAAACTGACATCACTGCTTCTCAATAATTTGGAGAGGTCTCTGATTGCAGACGTTCCCAGGGCAATACATCTCCTGAATTCCTGAGTGCTGGTGTCAACGGTGTTAATTGTGGATCCAAGTAAGATGAAGTTGTTGATAGTTTCATCAGTTTGGTGTTGTTTTAGAATGCACTATCAATTCCTCTTCCTCGACCACCAATCCTAAACACAGTTTTAGTATTCCTATTATGTAACCACCCCAAAAGCTGGGTGCTTACTCTATAGTAGCATTATGCTACACTGTCATTACTTTATGTGTATTTCACCAATATGAAAGATTATAAATCCAGAGTCTACTACAGGTATATACCAGAAATACTTTCAATAAAGAATGGAAACTATAATGGACTATACAGTTATCCATCATTCTGCCATACTGTAGTGGCTTTCATGTTATTATAATATTTGAAGCTATGCAGTAAGTATTTCACCCCTATGGTGGACAGGTGTCCAAGGACAGACTAAGGAGCAGGACTAGTCACACATTTCTGAACTAATGGCCCTTGAAATAGTGCTAGAAGATAAGCCCTGAAGACTAAAGACACTCAAAATATGACTGAGAAAGAACTGCCTCCTCACAATAGGATATACTTCAATGGCACATATGGAGGAAAGTTGCTCACATTTGCTGACATGGCAAACTCAAATAATGAAAAACAGTTGCAAGCATCCATTAATGACTGGAATGCAGAATTTACAAAGTATGAATAAAGGAAAAAAACTGAAGTTGTTAAAAGTGAAAAGGAAAACCTAAGACTCCATTCTAGCCATTAGCAAGCGACGGTTTGGTATTGGCCATTCTGAATCAATCATATATGATCTACTATGCCAGAAGTGACAAATCAAAAAGAATGTCAGATTCACGGTAAAAAAAAAAATTGAGCTACAATGGGTCAGTGATATCCTAATGTCCACATAAATACAAGAAAGACCTGTTAATACAACTATT